ATTTACACCCTCGGAAACCCTGTATAGGGTCGCTATGGGTCGGAACCGACTCGATGGCACTTAACAACAACAACAACAACAACTTTATAAGAAAAGAAGAGAAACACACATAGACCAAGGGGGTGCATTTACACCAAGGAACATCAACATGGCTTAGTAAGACGTTCCTACTGAGCTTGTCTCATTCGCTTCCCATTAATTCCTGGCCTTAAATCAGGCTCTTAGTTTACGGTAAAAAGATTGCGGTAGGCCTGGACTAGGAGGAGGTAAACTTGATTTTAGCTTATTGCTAAATGGAAGAATCCAGGGAGAAGGAGGTCGTGTAGCTGAGACACACGAAGCAAGCCTGACAGATACCAGCCGCAGAGTCTGACAGGAAAGCTCAAGAGACTTCTTTCCTTTACCCAGCAGGCACCGTGCCGCTACCCAAGAGGCCTTGCGGCAAAAACAGGCTGCGCTCAGAGCGTGGAAAGCCAAGGTCGTTGTTACCTCTATCTAGTGCCGCCATGCCCTTCCTTGGTGCTGAGCACATCTCCTTGAACTATCCTTGGCATGGTATCGTTTCGAACTGGAGCATCAAGTCAAGTAACAAAGGCTCCTCTGATACTGTGGTGATAGTTTTCTACTTTCTGGCGGTCGTCAGCGTCGGGCTGTGGGTAAGTCAGAGCTCAGAGAGGTGGGCGGGTCAGGACCCTCTCCCCTCATAAGCCAGCCCACGTCTTCCCAATTTTCAGCCTCTTGTTGACACACTGGACGCCTTCTCACTGCTAGACCCTTAGTAAACACAGCCCTCTGCTTGGACCTGGGCATCTCCTTTTTCATAGCTACTCCCCATCCTATTATTGCAAAGGTTAATACAGTGGCTGGCGTCACTGTGGTTGGGGTCACCTCCGCCCCCAACGGACCTCCTCCCATGCCAGATGGTACAGAATCCTTCTGTTATTATTAGGTGTAGGGTTAGGCTCACTGCCCTGCCCTGCCCTGCCCTGCGCCATCCTCACAATCATTGCTATGTTTGAGTCCATTGTTGCAGCCATGAGTTTCAATCCATCTCCTTGAGAGTTGTTCACCTTTTCACTGTCTACCAAGCATGATGTCCTTCTCTGGGGTTGGTCCCTCCTGATAACATGTCCAAAATAGGTGAGACAAAGTCTCATTGTCCTCACTTTTAAGGAGCATTCTGCCTGTACTTCTTCCATCACGGATCTGTTGGTTCTTCTGGCCAAAACCCCATTGCCTTCCAGTTGATACCAACACGTAGTAGCCCTGTAGGACAGAGTAGGACTGCTCCATAGGGTCTCCAAGGCTGAAAATCTCTACAGGAGCAGATTGGAATCCCTGTGGGGCAATTCTACTCTGTCCTATAGGGTTGCTATGAGTTGGAACTGCTGTGAAGCAGTGGGTTATGGAGATGTCCTCATAAATGAAGGCCATCCAGATGAAAGACCTGTGTTTTTGGAGAAGTTTGTGGTTTCTCATACTCCATTGTCTTTCTCTTCTAGGCTATGCTGTCAAGCAATCGTGCAACGGTAGACGACTTCTTCCTGGCTGGTCGGAAGCTAATATGGTGGCCAGTGAGTAAAGCCTTACCCATGGCACTCTACTTTTAAGGCTATATGCTAAAGTGTGGAATCCAGTTGTGGCTCTGTGGGTTAATGCTCTGGACTGCAAAGTCAATTTGAATCACAAGGTCGGTGGTTCAAACTCACCAGCCACTTCTTGGAAACCTATACAGGGTCCCTATGGGTCAGAACCAACTCAACAGCACTTAACAACAACAACAACATGCTAAAATGGGTTCATTCATTTAGATGTCTTACACACAGAAGAACCTGAAGTTGCTAAATCAGGAATGCCATGTAATTTAGAGTTCCCTTAGCTCTTAAGAAGTTTCTTATCTGTTTCAATTCAACTCACTTTAAGTCAATAACTGTTTATTAGGTTATTATCATACAATAACTTGTACCAGTATGTACAAGGCATTGTTCTAGATTCCGGGATAAGAAGGTGAAATTGATGGTCTTGCACTCTGGAAGTGCACTTTCTAGAGTGGCAAGTAGATAGATGTGTTTTGAGCTGGACAGTATACTGCAATGCAGTTACCCACTGCCATCAAGTCGATTCTAACTCATAACAACACTACAGAACAGAGAGGAACTGCTTCACAGAATTTCCAAGGCTGTCGATCTTTATGGGAACAGAAAGCCTCATCTCTCTTCCACAGAGTGTCTGACTGGTTTGAACCACCAACTTTTCATTAGCAGCCCAACACTTAACCCACTCTGTCATCAAAAACCCACTATCATCGAGTGGATTCTAAATCATATCAACTTCTAGAACAGAGTAGAACTGTTCGCTTGGGTTCCCAAGGTTGTAAATCTTCATGGGAGCAGATAACCTCATCTTTTTTTCCCTTGGAGCAGCTGATGGATTTGAATCATGGACCTTGTGGTTAGCAGTCCAGTGCTTAACCCATGATGCCACCAGGGTGCCTTTACAATGCAGTAGGACCCATATACTAGAAGGGGTCAGGTACAGATGAACAAACAGTAAACTCGGGATTGCTTGGTAGAGAGAGTAGAGTAGAGCATCAGGGAAAAGAAGGAATTGCACCTTTTTGGTCACTTGTGTGACTGCTCTGCAAAGCCACCTTCTGTTTCCAAAGCTGCTCACAAAAGTTCAAGATGGTCCAGCTGTGTCTGGCTGGCAGTTCACCAGCCAGTCTCCTTCTCTCACCAATCCTGTTCAGTTTCTCTTCCCAGCAAGTGCTCAGTCCACTTCTCTAACCTTTCCTCTGAATTTCAGGGTTCCAGGATTTTCATCTGTGTCTAGTTTACTTGGTCTCTGGTTTCTTTGTTGTAGAGAGTCTATGTAGTGAGTCTGCCTTGTTTGCCATCTTACCAGATCCCTCTTTCTTCTTTTTTGATGTTTGTATTTATTACTATAATTATCATCTGAACACTGTTTTTGCTCTGTCCTAAGATTTTTTTTATCTTGTCAGCTTAAAGACTAAGGTGTGCCTGACCCAAGTCATGGTATTTTCAATAACCTCATATACATGTGAAAGCTGGACAGTGAATAATGAAAACCATAGAAGAATTGATGCTTTTGAGTTATGGTGTTGGAGGAGAATATTGAAAGTGCCGTGGGCTGCCGAAAGAACCAACAGATCTGTGTTGGAAGAAGTGCAGCCAGAGTGCTCCTTGGAGGCCAGGATGGCCAAAATTCGTCTCTCACACTTTAGACAAATTGTCAGAAGGGACCAGTTGCTGGAGAAGGATATCATGTTTGGTAAGGTGGAGGGGTCAGAGAACAAGGAAGACCCCCAGTGAGATGGATTGGCAAAGTGGCAGCATCAATGGGCTCAAGCATGGCAATAATTGTGAGGTTGGCCCAGTATTGGGCAGTGTTTCGTTCTGCTGTGCATAAGGTCACTATGAGTTGGGGCCAACTCAATGGCACCTAACAACAACAACAAGATTTTTTATATGTTGTGTTTTCGTTCTCGTTTGATTCACATTATTTTTTATTTCTTTTTGTTACTCAGTAGTTTTTTTATTCAGGGTTATTCAGTTTCTCTATATTTGATTGCCACCCCTTTAACTTCCTGTTGTTGATTTCTAATTTTATAGTATTGTGACATGAGAAGATGCTTTGTAATCTTTCCATGTTTTTAAATGTATTGAGGCTTTGTGTAGAATGTTCCATGCACTCTAGAAAACAATGCCTACTATGCTTTTGAAGGGTGGAGTGTTCTGTATATGTCTATCAGATCTAGTAGGATGATTGTGTTCTTTCAATCTTCTACATCTTTGTTGAGTTTCTTTCTAGTTCCGTGCTTTGTCAGTATATTTAAAAAAAA